TTGTTGTAGGCTTAAGAGCTAATTGGTTTATTTTGCAGCTGTATATACATGAAAAATTAAAACTTGGAGATAGAGAAGTGGGATAATACTGGGTATATTCTTTTTTGGTTAAGTAAAGTAGACGGTTTTCTCCTTTCAAGTAAATTACCTGTTGTCTCTCAATTCTCATGCCTTTTGGATAACTGTTATACGAGTCCTATTTCTGAATTCGGTGTAGTTTGCATTAGAGGCGGAGTTAGAAATTTATATAAGGGGATTCAAAAAATTATTAGAATGACATAGTTGGGATTCAAACTTGTGACTTTAAAGCCTTTTTAACCCACTTTACCACTATACTAAAATTTTCCCGGGGATTCAACAATTCGTATATAACCATAAAAAATTATTTTTACCCTATTTGCTCAGTATAATACTGGGTATGCTATTGTTGTTGTTGCTCAATATAATTTTTCGATGAAGGGAAGTGAATCTCATTCCCTCTTACTAGCTCCGCCCCCGGTTTGCATTACTCTGTGAATAACCCCTGGGTAAATACTAAATAGTCAATGCAAGTGTCTTTGGTGATACCTGTATTAATCTATGAAGACAAAAAGCTTTTCTCTTGTGATAGAAGTTAGAACGTTACTTGGATGTTTGAACCGCTCTTTCAAGCTTATAAAGCTATACGAAAGAAAATATAAATATTTATGCAGTCATGCTTGAATTTCTGTGATCTGTGATCTGATCTTACTTGTCATTTTTAGGTATAATACTGCTGTAACTTGTCCACATTGCATTTTTACTCAATCAAATAGATGGCTGGGAGTGGGAGGTCTACTCGTTCCAAAACACAGCAATCTATGCAGCAGCGGGAATCCCAGTGTAGAGCAAAGTGGACCACATCTCTTACCAAGACAATGCTGGAGGTAATGGTCGACCAAGTTCATGAAGGGCATATGCAAAACAAGTCTTTTAGTAAGAAGGGATGGAAATGCATTTGTGATGAGTTCCATAAAAGAACTAGTCTTACATGGGAGAAGGAGCAATTAAAGTATCGATATGCTGCACTAAGAAAGCAGTTTGCTACTATGAAGTTGCTACTTAATCATAGTGATTTCAAATGGGAGGAAATTACAGGTTTAGTAACAGCAACAGATGAAGCTTGGGACAAGTACATCAAGGTTTGTATTCCCGTGTTGTCTATTTTGAACAAAAACACCTTTAGCCGCTAGGACACATTTGTCATTTGTGTTTGCAAGTTGAAATCTCCTTTTCAGTTTAGTTTTCTTTTATCTCCTAACGCACAGGCATAAGACTTTCTTTTCCAATGCCTGTGTGATCTATGGATGGATCACGGTTTACCTTAGCAAAATTTTTCATGTCAAGGGCTTGTAATTTCTTAGTAGAGTCAGATGTTGTTCTTCAGAAATCATCCGTCACAAAACTCTCCTTGACATGTACTAATCAGGATAATCCAGATGCAGAAACCATAAGGAGCACTGGCTGCCCATTTTACAAGGAACTGAGCGTGATATTTGCTGATTCTGGAAGTAAAGGGACGTATAATGGATCTACTAGACACAAGGACTGTCTCCCTGGTTCAACACTGTCTCAGGAAGACTTATCATATTCAGAGTCTGAAGAAGGTCCCGATACCAATGAGCAAGAAATTCTTCAGTCTGTGAGCTCACCTACTGATATAGTATGTCGAAAGAGAGGGCGTAAGGGGATTGATGGTGCTATTGCAAAAGCTATATCTGAGATGGCTGCTGCTTCAAGACTTAGAGCATCTGCTATGAACAAGTGCAATGAAAATTTCAGCATAACCGACTGTATTAGAGCTTTGGATGAATTGGAAGGTGTCGATGACCAAGTGTATTATGCTGCTTTGGATCTCTTCTACAATCGTGCTGCTAGGGAGTTGTTCTTATCTCTCAAAGTTGAGAAGCGGCTGACATGGTTGGTTGGCAAATTCTCCCGGTCCTCCCTAAGTTAAAAGGACAAGTCCGACTAATTTTGTTATATATTTAAGTAGCAATATCCTATCTCAACTGATTCATTTATTATTGGTTTTTACAAAGGTGGAAGCTTCATCTCTCTATCTCTTTCTCCTTTTTTTCTTTTTTGATAACTAGGAGTAAGACTAGATTTCAGAGAGTTGAAACTTGCTGTAGGAGGAAGCATTTTGTTAAAAATTAAGCCCACTCATTATGCATTAGATGCAAAGGTGGCAATTGTTTCTATTCATCATAAGGCAGGAATTGCAGTTGGAGTTGCCGTTGCAGCAACAGTTGTGACATTTAGACTCTATGTTGTGCGGACTCTCCAAAATGCTGTAGCTCCCGTGTCGGATCCTTCAAAAATACACTACTTTTGAAGGATACGACACGCACCCGACGATATTTTTGGAGAGTCCGACCAAGATAGCATTTAGTTGCTTGTATGAAGTCAAAAGGAGAGCACGTAAACATCAGCAATATGAGTGAGTTCCAGATGTTCTGGTGAAAATGAATAGCACCGTGGTTCATAAGGCATCTAGTTGTTACGGATGATCCATCATACTCCTAGTTTTTGTATTATGAAAAACAAAAACAAAAAATCCTGATTTTAACAAGTACTAACTCATAAAAGAAAAGATCCGGCATTTAAATATGAGGGATTCAACCTTTAACCCATTGTGTTTTTAAAATTATGGCTACATAAGTCATTCAAAATATTTGTTGGATTTTTCACATTTATATCTATGCTCTATAGTCCATCCGCCTCTGGCAAAGGTACACTCCACCTTCCAATCCATGGCAAAGCCTGAAGTATTGCTTGCTTGGAGCCAAGACATCTTCCTCGGTATTGTAAGACAACGAAAAAGAAGAATCCATTCAATCATGAAAGGTCAAATCCCAACGGAGACATAAAAGGTGTGTTTTTTTTCATCTGTCAAAGCCAGAGTTACGTAGTACTTGTGGGAGGTAGCAACTAACCGAGGCGGGGCGATAGAACTAGTCGAGTGCAAATTTGTGCCCTAGAGGCAAAAGTTGAATTTTAGAGGCACCAGATCAATTACTACTACTTTCCCCTCCTAAAGGAGAACAAGTTTACGCCAACTAACTTGAAAATGGAATTATATTAAAGTTAAAATAATCCATAATGTTAGTTAGGCTCGTGGACTCAAACACAAGGCGCTCCCTTGAAAAATCTTTAACTATTCATCATGGCTATAATCTTGGTTTCTTTTAATACTTTTGGAGGATTTTTCTACAGCAGTTTTTTATTCAATAAGGTAAATATATGACTAACGTAGATGGCATCTGAATTAGGTTTAGAATTAAATTTACGAAAATATTTTTATAAAAGTTCATCAAAAGAAAATTATATTTGGAGTAAAAAGGGATTGCTTAATCTGGAACTATACAATTTAGACGGGGATAGGGGCATCGAGGCCCATTAGCTCAGTTGGTTAGAGCGTCGTGCTAATAACGCCAAGGTCGCAGGTTCGAGACCTGCATGGGCCAAGTTTGTTTTATTTTTCCTTCATATTTAACCTGCTTTCTGCCCTTTTGCAGCAGTAAACTAAGCTTTATAGCTGGAAAAATCGAATAAATACGAGTCAGCGACCAATGTGTTACACAATTTCTTCGAAAAATCGAATAAATACGAGTCAGCGACCAATGTGTTACACAATTTCTTCTGAACAGATACAGAGCTTTTAAGCATTTTGCTTCATCTCTCTGATCTTCTTATTGCCTTTATAATTGCTTCACAGCCATCCATCAATCTTTGGTATCTAAAAAACATAATTTATGCAGCCAAATATTTCTCTAAGTTTAAAAAGATAAATTAAGTGGTAAGAACTACAACCAAATTAAATATTATTAGTAGTTTTACTCACAAATCTTCAACTTTTACAAGCTTCTCTTCAATGTAAAATTCATATTTAAAAGCAGCTCCACTTGCGCGGATTCTTTTCAACTCAAATATCATCCAAACACCTACTGAAATCACACATGTTTGTTTGTCTTTCCACAGAGATTATGTCGTTGGGTGCATGACCAGTTGACATCTGGGCGATTTTCCTAATGGTGTGTTGGTAAAAGAAGAACTGCTACAGCTTTTTATGCATCTTAAAAAGTACTTTTATCTCACTTTGGTAGGGTGCATAAGAATAATACTGAATAGGGTGTATTGGTAATGCTGACATATTTCTTATCCATTGTTTGATTTGATGTATTAAAGCATTGTGCAATTTCTAAAAGAATTGTTTGTTTACAAAAACGCCCTCAAAATCAGTCCATCACTTTAACTTTCTAAATGAAATATATGTTGAGAAATATTTTTATATGAAAAAGTTTTAAAAAAACTTTTTAATTTGTCTACCTCTATTGTAACATAGAACTAAATATTTATTTATAAAAAAGGAAATATGCTAAGTATTTATTTATTTACTAGGGCTATAATTTTATTTCTCACAATTTGGATTATTTTAAACTTCCATCAATATAATAACTAGCATATTTTAATCAAGCATAAATGTTGAAGGACAATTTTATCTTTAACTAAGCTAATGCATGCATTAAAACTCATTGCATTGCTAATACCATTGTTTTCTATGCATTAGTTATGCATAGGATAATACCAAAAAGGATGTATAACTAATGCATAGGTTCAAAATATCTACCAAACAATGTATTATTAATACACAAAGCTAATGCATGCATTATTATCCTACCAAACGAACCCTAATTCTAACTAGTCTGGTATGATCAAGGAAAAACTTGTTAAACGAATGCATGAGTGAGGTGAACTGTTGTTCTGCAATTAAGTATATTATTTTATAGCGCCATTAGAAGCTTAGCTGATGGTGCAATTCGAAAAGGAAAAAAAATGGTCCATCAATTGATCAACTATATCTCAATCACAAACTAGTAAATATTCACTCCGTATTTTACAATATGGGAACCTACTCATTTCAATATTGAATATAATTTATCTTTTAGGACAAATTATAGGTTCTCTTAGACTAGAGATTCTTGAAGTGACTCATTTATTTACATTGCCATACAAGTATATAACAAGATTAAGAACATGCCTAACAAACTCCATATCTAATGTAAATGTAATAATTAATCAAATTTTAATCCCAACTGGTTAGTATCAAGTTCATGAGGAAAAGAGTATTCATTCACACATTTTACAGCAGACTCCCACTTGTACACACATAGACAGACACAAAAATAATATGAAGAGGACGGCCCCAATTGCCTGTTATCTCAATGTTTTCTTCTAATGCCCAATCTGCTCGTCTCCACCACTCACAACTTCCCAAATCTTTTTGCAATAATCAGCTTGCTGATCAGAGCCACAGCCAAGTTGAGCCTTCCCATGGACCACGACAACATACTGCTTCACAAGTAGAAAGGAAATACCGCGTTGCTACCAATACTTCACACGAATCTGGGGCCGAAATATGCACAGAAAAGCAAGATAGTAAGTAAGATCTAAATGGTGTCTATTTCATATGTTAAATTTCGAACAAAATGCTTTTTGGCATGCACTTCCAGATTTTGCTTCATATCTACATATCAAGCAAAGAGACTGCATGAAGTAATTAAGAACACATTGAAATCAAAACAGAGCTTTCCTTATAGCACCAAATATAATCCACATCAGAGGCTCTGGAATAGGAGTATGTCAGCTGATATGCAGCCTAAACATGGACATCTATGTACTTCTAAGATTTTCCAGTAAATAAGTCCATACATTGCTAGCGACACTCACTTTAATCACTTGGAGTCAACATAGACAACTCAAACCAAAGAACTCCAAAGGATGAGGGCCATGAGTTACCCCCTCCCCCCACCTCCCAAGCCAAGCTTACACACACTTCGACTGCTCCACCATGTTCCTGCTACCTCCCACTGGCACAGGTACCAAGTAACTCTGTCCATCGAGGCTTAGAAAGATGCGAAGAAATCACCTAGATATTTTGTCTCTGCTAGTATTTGAATCGTGGTCTTCAAGGTTTACACCTACTTCATCAAACACTAAGCTACCCTTAAGTAACCTCATAATTCCATCTTTGCTCAGTTTTCTTTGATTATACTCCAAATCTACCCCGGTACCAATAATTTTCCCTCACTCCCTATGAACAATCTAATGTGTACATTCCTTTCCTATTGAACAGAAATGAGTGTATCATCCTTAACAATACTATCATTCATTAACAAATCTGAACTACTAACAAGCACAATAACAAAAGTGTGCAGAAAGAATCAAAAGCTTGAGGAATCTCTGAGCAACAAAAAGAGCAGCATGATTGCAACCCACTAACATTGTGATTTAACCTAATGATGAAAGCTATTGCTCAAACAAAATGCAAAAATTGCCTGCCAGAGCAGATTACCCATTATAAAAATAGTACTTAAAACCAGAGGATAGAAGGTAGAGATGGAGAACTTACAATTTATTCTACAACAGTATATCTACAATATAGACCTATATTTCTTATCATGACTAATAACTTCAATAAATCTGAAATATGTAAGAGTGGGTTCTAATTGGCAGTACCTCTACTGGAGAAGTCAACAACAATAATCGGCGGTGACTACTTGGAACTCTTAGCCTTCTTATCAGCTTTAGCAGCAGATTTGGCTAAGGTAGTGGGCTTCAAGGCACTCTTGGGGTTCAGTGCCTGTCTGATCTTAAACACAGCCCAGGCAGTTCCAAAAGCATGCCCTGCAGCATCAAGCCCTTCACTGGTTGCCTTAGCTGCTTCTTCTCCATACCTGCAAAAGGCAAATTCAGTTTTAATTTATATCTGAATAATTAGAGCTACATATCTTCCTTTTAGTGTATTACCCCAATGACATAGCATATTAGCACTTAGTTGGGCGACAAAATGAATGAAAATGTATTGCAATGAAAAGATGGAGGTCTATTACCATATGAAAGTCCTAGTTTTCATTCCTTGTAAATATCAGAAAAAAGCATATGTAGCCAAGATAACTGATCATACACTCGATCATAAATGTTTAGTTAATTGTAGGAAAAAGGGAAAGGAGAGATTTTTCTTTGATTAACCCTTTTTTACCCATTTGGACGATTATCTAGTTTTTTTCGGCAATTTTTTCAGGTATTGGAAAACTGTACAACAACTGAGCTTCACCTGTGAGAAACAAATTCAGTCGTGACAGTGCTTGACGTAGACATCACATTCTTTCCAGCTACTTCACCAGCATCACATATTCTGCCTATTAACAAGAACATCGGCATTAGACTTCTGCCAAATTTAATCATTAATTTTAAACAAAACAAATAAATTGCATCTACTTGTGCCAAAGACAAATTACATTGCTGTGAGAAGTAGCACACATACTTATGAAGTTGAAACCACCAGCTATCATCTTAAGAGTGCACAGTATACATATTGTATTCTAACTGTAACACCTGCATAAAGTTAATGTTCCATGTCCCCTTTGTGCCACTTGGACTCCCGTGTGAGAGGGAGGAAGCAGGAGCAACCATCTAAAAGCAAGGGTTACAACTAGCACTTCACTCAAACATATAACAATTACTCAAAGTTGTCCGTTTGACAGCCTAAGTGAAACTGACTCAATCCTTTTTCTACGCAGAAAAGTGCTTCGACCAAGCTCGTCATCATATCATAAATTGACTACCGCTTCCTCACCGACTGGTAATCAACTCATTCTTGCCATGGAGGACAAAAAAAGAAAACATCAGAATCCAGAGATATATAAAGAACTGAAGTCCCACCTTATAGCAATGAATTATACTGCCCTCTCCTCCATTCAAAACATTGCATACTACCCCATTGTGCACGGTGGTAGCTTTTACTTAATTCCTGTAGCATGCAGTGGTAATACTTTTCTGATCTAGGAAGATTGATATTACGTCTGAATTGAATGATTAGGTGAGCAAGGAAAGGAGGGGAATCAGAGAGATAAAGAATTTTAAGTTCTGATAGATTTTAGAAAGAGAATTAAAAGAGAGATGGGAATGGCAAGGTAATGAAATAAAGATTGAATCTCATTTCCACCTATATTTAAACAGAAAAAGTATGAAACTAAACCTGTTTTATTCAAATTTTTGTAATCTAAAAGGGGAATTTTGCATCATGAATAAAATGGGTATTTTTATAATGTCAAATTATTCATAATAAACCCAAAACAAAACTTGATTTATTCTCTTTTCTCCTACCTCCTTCCCTTTCCCTCTGCATAGTTTTCTTAGCTTATCAAAAGCAAAAGAAAAAAGAGAGGTGGTGGTGGTNAAAACTGGATTTCTTACCCTTTTCTCTCTTCTCTATACCCGTGTATTACGATTAGCAATTGCCTTTTTAAACTCCTAATGAGACACAAGTGGTAAGATGTCCAAAATAGTTCAGGTGTGCATTGAATAAACGGTGCCAAGTGGGAGTCCTGAGGTATTATGCCTTTATATTAAAGACAATTGATGAAGACCTATACATATTTATTCTATTCCTGTCAGACATGTCCTTGATGCCATGAATCCTACACTGTTTAAAAATGACGTCTTAGCTAATCCATGTGTCTGTGATAATATGGGTATTATAACGCTGCAATTGAACTTCTATCTGACCTGAAGCAGTAGGGAGAAAAGGTAGAAAAGCAAATAGCAGAACCTAGAGACATACAGATTCCAGAAGATGTCAAAATGAGTCAGAAAGAGAGATATTTGACTTACTAAATCCATCAAGAGTAGCATGAACCATTTCCCCAGGCAGGAGGCTAAAGAACTTTTTTCCTGCTTTGGTATTTGCAACTGACCTGGTAACGAATCCTGAAACCTTCACAGCTCCAGAAAGGACTCCAACCGCCACTTTCTCAGTCATCTTTGTTACTCTCTTAACCCTGAAAAACACAGCCGAACAAATAAGTCACAAATATTACACCAACTATTCACATGAGTATTCCTGATCTTCTTAAAGGGATGTATATGTCCATCAGCAAGCGGTAGCTTAAAAAAAAAGAACCCAGGTTTATGATATTTTCCATTTCCCAAGAGTGGAAATGAGGGAAAAGGCAGGATTTTGAGTCACTTATTTCTGTATTACTCTATCAAAGAAAGTCTCACATGGCAGCTTCTCATGCTAAAGTTTTAGTTATAGCAGGTTTCAAAATTTATAGGAATTTTGCGTTAACAACGCAAGCATCATTATTGGTAATAGAAACCAGATACATTTAGGCGAATCAAAATTATCTTGGTCCGTAGATGCTCTTTAAGGATGCTTGACATATTCAAACCGATTAACAGTTTTAAGACATTTGAAGCCAAAATAGTTAAGAAAATCAAAAAGTTTCATAGTCCAACAGCTCACTGGGATTAGCAAAATCTCTATAACGCTGAGAACATTTCCCGTCATATATCCCGTTTCTTTAGAGTCATAACTTTTTTTCTTTTTCTTTTTGATAAGGACATCCCCTTTCTTTAGAGTCATAATTGATTACCTTGTAACGAGAAAAATATAAATTTCACTCCAAGTGCCCTAATATCAAACAAACCATCTCTACCTTCTATATCCTCTCATTCAATGAAAGTTCTTCATCACATGAAAACAAAAGAGAAAGCCTTGTGTACACAAAAGAAGAGGCTAAATTTTTCTAGTTCAACACTTCCACACCTTTCACTGACTCACCCTATCTTTAAAATACTAAAGGAGTCATGCATTAATGTGGGGCAGTAAGAAATATCCTCCTTCAACTTTCCTGCTTTCCCATGTGAAGGGGGAAAAAAGCACTTCCCTTCACATTTAAACTTCATAGTCCATTTTATTAATTCCTCATTTATGTAACACTCTTTCCTTGTTAGTATGTCTCAAAAATGATGACACCTTTCTCTATTTAGAAAGAATTCAACTTTACAATTTTCATTTTACTCTTGATAAGATGATTTATCCAGACAAATGTCATGACTTGTTTTAGACCACAAGTTTCACGTGTCTTTCTTTCTTAAAATATGTGTGTCTAGTCGAAGATCATCAGATAAAATGGGACGGAGGGAGTAGCCCATTTAAGAATTCAACAAGTAGTCAGTCTCACTATATACTTGATCTTACTTTGCGAAATATTCAAGAACTCACAAGATTGCTAATCAAAATGATAACCAACAATTGCAAAACAAAGATATTTAGCTGACAATCAAGCAAAAGACCATACCTTTTGATCCTCTTCAATGTCTCAGGACTAACCTCAGTTTTCGAACCTGTCTTAAACCTATTCTTCAATACCTCATTACCCCACTTCAATCTATCTGCAGTCACATCTCCACACCACAAAATCCCCTTTATCAAGTGTCCTGACCCCGAAGCCACATACTTTGCCGCCGAGGCATTATACTCCTCCACATTAGGCGCCAACGTGGTCCAATATGCCGCGCATCGCTCTTCCAACACTTCCTTCTTCTTCTCCGACTTCAAATCCGCCGGAGACAACTCCTTCGCCACCGGTCCGCCCAACACCGCCGCGGCCGTCTCCTCCACTTTCTGCACCGCAAAGTTGCTATAATTTTCCAAAATGCCATCCAGCTCCTTTAGTAATTTCTCCTGTCCCTTGGAAGCAATCGTTAAACCATAATTCAACGATTCATTCGCCAAGTCATTAGCTGACGAATCCTTATCCGATTCATCGTCTTTAGGAGCTTGAAATGAGAAAAAGTAGCGCGAATCGTCGAGTTTTACGGCGGCAAGGTCCTTAGTCAACGGCCACTGGATTTCGTTTCCGACACGAACGAGGACAGCGACGACGCTGTTGTCTTGCCGGAGACGATGAACGGATAAGTCTCCGGCGGAAAGTTCGACGGAGTAGTGTGTGTCGATCAAATGGAGCATGGAACCGGGGATAGTAAGTAGGGTTTCAAGAGGGGCAGACGGTGTATCATGCTGGTCGTTAGGGGTAATTTGGTCATTTTCAGGAAAGAGGTTTTCTACGAGGTCGTTCATGTCAATGGTCGGGTAGAGATTTTGACGGGAGGAGGAGGAGGAAGGGGTATTTTGGTCAATGACTACTTGGGGTTCTAGAAGTATTAGGGTCTAGGGAAGCCATTGAAGAAGAGATGATGGAGTAGAGTAGAGATGAATAGAAGAAGAAAAGGTACAGTAATACTTAATAGCGTAAAATGGGTAGTTTGGATATTAAATTCTGTTAACTGTCTTGGTAATTTCCCGCGTAAGTACCGATACTGCTTTTCGATTGGGTAAAAATATATTTTATTTCAAAAAATTAAACATAGTAAATTTTAAGTGGTGCAAATTTTTTTTTGAATTAGACCAAAGTTCATATAAATTAAAATATTCCATTTGCTTCCTTTTAAGTTACTTGATTAGTCATACGAAATTTCTTCTTCACCCGCTTATAAATTTCTCGTTTGTTAATTTTCCTTCATGCTGGAGGGAAATAAGGATATATCTAGTCTTAATAATTAATCAAATGAAAGTAAAAGAAATCAAACAGTTTATGTGTTATTTCCTCCGGTCCATAATAAATAACCAATTTGCTTTTTTATTTTAGTCCAAAATAAGTATATATCCATTTATATGATCAAGAAAAAATTTAATTTGTTTTTTCAAAATTACCCTTATATACGTATCTCTAAAAAGTCTTTTACTCCTCACATTAAATTTTAATTAAGGGTAGTTTAGTCACACTAACTATTTTTGTCTAGAATTTAGTATTTTCTTAATGGATGTGCCTAAAGCAAATTGGTCACTTATTGTGGATCGAAGGGAATAATCAACCACCTGATTGTGTTGTTATACTCTTATGATTTTTAAATTTCAAAATTTAAAGTATAAAACAATCTTAGTAATTAATTGACAGGTAACAAATCCAAAGGTTGTGGACCTTGTAGTAGAATGAGTAGAATGCTTGCATCCTTAAATAAATGTCTTGAGTTGGAATCCTGTGAATAAAAAGAAATTCTGGTTAAACTTGTTGAGTTTCTTTTTAATATAGAAAGGTATTAAAAATTTTGAGTAAAATTTTAAGTTTTTCTCTCCTTTTAATGAGACATTGTCCCTCATTGGTAGAGGAAAAGGAGTTTGATGGGTTTATATACAAATGCACTTCATGTAGCTCTTAAAGAGTCAGGAAGAAGGCAAGCCTCGCGCTGTCGTCGCTCGCTCGGCTTTGGCTATGGCTATGGCTTCGGTCAAATGATTGATTGATTAATTTTTTAGACCAAATTTATTTGTTAATAGCAAATATTAACGTAATAATATCTGTGTTTGTAACGGATATGTTCCAATCCGTGGATTTGTTCCAGCAGGCTAATGCGTCTCCCACCATTGCGAAATGCTTGCTCCATAATAGCAAGTGATTGCTCCATTAGTTAGCAGCCTGGTGTTCCGTCCACCATGGCCAAGTGCTCCACTAAATAAGTGGCAGCGGATCTGTGTTTAGCAGCTAACTGCACTATAAATAGATGGTGCAAGCAGCTTGTTGAAGACACACAGAAAGAAATCGTTCCTCTTCAGTTTACAGAACTACTGATATCCTCTTCAGTAAGAACTCAACATCGGCTATAAATTGCATGTCTTCCTCTCAGAATTTCCATTCGACTTCTGAGTTCTCCTCCCTTGTTCTGCATTGTTTTAAACTACAAACAAAGCATCTGTAAGTGTGATTTGCTGCCGAACTTTGTGTTCGCTGAAACACTGGGATTTGAAGTACCGCTACACCAGTGTGTAATTCGTTCTATCCTGGGAGGAAATAATCTATAACCTTGGGTACTAGGAGGGGATTAAATTCCTTAAGGAAACACTGTGAATTCAGTGAGCTCGAATTAATTTCTGTTTTATTTATATTTGCGTTTATAAGCTAACGTTCTAATTTCCAGAATCATTATTTAGAAATAGAGGAATTTAATAACAAAACTAAAATAATACTGTAATAAATAAATAAATAAAAAAAAGGTTCTGCCTGAGTTTACCTCAGTTAACATACTTATTTGCTGGCCCTATTCTCGCACATCAAAGTTATATATGAAGCGATGATTTTTCTCTTTAGATTTTTTTTGTGAAGAAATGAACTTAGGGAAAACATCAAAGCAGTTGTCCACTAGACAAATTATTCTAGTTCTTGTGTAGAAAATAAGAGAAAAAACTCCATTAAAATCTTAGAAGAAAAGTTTCTTCTCCAATTGGTACAGACTCACTGATTCATCTTCAACATATATTCCAACTAGCTCATCTTCTTCGTCTGATAAGTCCTGTCTTGGTATAACATTGTTTCCTTGATTGGGTTATCTGAATGAAGGAAAATTATAGCTAGGAGACTAATATGGCAAGCAGCTTCAACAGGAACTATATATCTAAAATTTTTATCCAAAAAGAGAACGCGTAGGGTCATTAGGTTTAGATCAAGTTATACAGAAATTGTAATGCAAGGATTAATAATATAGGGAGAAAAAATGCATAAACTATACAAGTGATTTAGATTTTCCAAGTGGAAGAGGAGAGGATCAAGTTTTTATTTATTTATAAACAGTACAAACAAAGTTGAATTAACAACAACATAAGATATGTAGCTATGTCTTTTGTATGAATCCTGTGTCTCGGCAATACCAAAATCTAGTTTCCCTCTTACAAAGAAAAAGCGCCACTGCAATACCTGCATGGTTTAAGAAAGTTAACATGAGACGAACACTATTCCAAAGGAAGTTTTAAAGACCCGTAAGATCGTCCATAGAAAGTGAGATTAGTAACCTGAAAAATAAGCCAGGTTTCTTACTACTACAAGTTGAGATATTGACTTTTACATTGTCGATGTACGCAAGTTAAATCCTATTGGAAACTGATGAAAACAAGGAATTAAAGGACATGTTGAGGCACATGTAGGGTTCAAAAAACCTTATGATGTAGTTAAGTAGTTGATGGTTAGACGTGAAAATTTTCAGTAAAAATGCTCAATCTTAGACCTTCCTTGGGAAATTTTACCTGTCACTGAACTTTTCAACAGCTTCAGAGGCATAAAGAAGGGTCTCATTGGCTTTCTCAAGTACCATATAGAGCTCCTTCCCTCGTGTCACCCGCGAAATCACCCAAGCACCATTTTTTGCTCTAATACAAATTTCTTGGTCTTTCTCGCAGTCCGATCCATCACATTTAGCTCTGCTCTTTTCTAAGTCAACCTCTTCTCGGAGCTTATTCATTGCAACTAAAGAATCCTGCATGCATTATCAGATTATTTAGAGCAACAGTCAAATCTAGTTATTACAGTACACAAATTTGATTACCATGGCTACATCGTTCTATGAGAAAAGAATATTACCAGTTAATGACTACCTCATTAAACAAATGTTCACGAACTTAACAAGAAAACTGGTCCTAAGGTAAATATATTTAAAGTAAAACCGGCCATCATGCAAATAAGGTAAACATCAGAGAATACTTGGGTTGTTTGGTGCGAAGGAAAATGTTTTTTAGGAAAATAATTTTCCTTTCTCTTGATAAGGAAAACATTTTCCTCCAATTGGAGGAAAATGAGGTCAAGGAAAATATTTTCCAAAACATTTAAGCCAACCAAACATGGAAAAATTGGAAAACATGTTAAATGTTTTCCTTCATACCACACACACCCTTAGAAGCAGTGTGCTATCTAATCACATTTGACAAAAGATTGATTGAGATGGGGCTTAATAGGTCCCCTAGTGCAAGTACCCTAGGTGCAGACTTAGTATTTCTTTAAAAGAAACTACTAAATAAAACATGTTTGTCAATAAATAAATGAGAATTTTCAAAATAACAAACAACCAACCATCCAAATTTATGAAACTGTGTACCAAATAAATTCAAAATTGTTAATGTCTAATTGACAAATTTATTATAGCACCCTGGTTTTTTTTTTCTAGTTTTCAGTTTTACTTGCTTGTGGCAGAGGGCTCATATTAAGGGTGCAAGATAGCCAAACACCTCACTGTGAGCCATATGCAAAAACTCTACGCATCACGGTAACCACAACAAGCACCTCACTGCCAAACGAAGCTAGGAACAAGAAGTCTCCAACAAATCAAATTATTACGATATAACATATCCAAAGAAACATATTCCATGAAACTATATTAATTTTACTTTGCCTTGCACCAATATTTAATTTTGTATAAGGTTTCTGACTGCAAGCAACAAAAAGATGCCAACTTGGTCAAACTTCGTCAGCTATACCCCCACAATTACAACTCCAATAAAAATCGTATCTTCGCAAATACAATAATAATGAGGTTCTAAAAGCTTTCATCTTCTCTGATGTGTCCTGCTGCATCTGTTAGTAGCAAATGTGTTGGAGTACCCATATAATGTGACAAAGTGTAATTGAAGTTGAGGAGCAAATAGCTGCCGCACTTAGAGAGACGAAATAATCTTTAAAATCTTTACTATTTTCACATGGCTATTAAATAGGTACATATATTGGAACTTCCACTATAGTCAAAAAAGCAAAGCAAGCATTACAATAGGTGGATTCTCGAAATGAAATGAAAGTTTTGAGTTTTTGACAACCAAAAGAAGGAAAAAAGGAAGTTATCTAACCTTTGTAAGAGTTGTTACTTTTCCAGGCGGAGATGCCCGAGAGATGCATCTATCACCGTCTACAAGTAAGTAGCGGTAACCACTCACATGATATGCATTCTCGCCACCCCATCCTCTAGATAGTTTCTCTTCAACTTTGAATATCTTGGGTGATGCCTGAAATTAACAAGACATGTAATGAACTGACCAAGATAATAATTTTATATATCATAATTATGCTCGCCAGAGAAAGGCTATTAATCTCAAAAGCAGAATAAATTTTCACCAAATGAAATGGAAAGGAAAAACCAGAGAGAACACACGAAACAATATCTTGATAAAAGCACCATAACTAATATTTATTTGATTCATTTTCGCTTGAGGTCGTATATTTGTTGCATCAATTCATTGTCTCTTCTACTTGTGCCCACTCGACTTATGAGGAGTCAAATCAAACACTAGCTTGGCTAATACAACACAAACCACTTAGAGCCACCATTTTAAGTCTTTGAAGAAGCCTTGTAAAACCTAGAGCAACAATATACAGATGGTTTAGTGTATTTGTCAACTAAAAAAAGGCACATAACCACCACGGAAACCCAGGAAACACATAACCACCACATAACCACCACGGAAACCCAGGATCTAAAACGTGAGCTTGTTACTGAGGGTTTGTTCAGGCTAGAATGCAATTAAGTTAATGCTAGTAAAAAGTTTGTCAACAAAATAAAAGGTACACATGAGGATTAAACAGTTTATTCCCTTCCTGGTCAAGAGATTTCACGGGGAAAAAAGCATGGGATACAGAATGTCTATGATTGACTCTAGCTTTTGTACAGCAAAGAATTTTGTTAACCAATCTTAATCACATCAGAATGATTTAGTCGTTGGTAGCTTCTAATTTTGCCAAGGAAGAACATATTACAAATCTCCTTTCATTTGTATTTGCAGTCAGATTGACATCAATGTGTGAGTCTCAACCTATAACAAAACGCAAGATTTCATATAATGAAACAAAAATGAAGAATCGGTGAGATGATTTAGTGTCCGTGACAACTAAAACTTCTGCGAGATAAACTGGCCTGGGAGTTGCTGTGGATTGCCATGAAGGAAAATTTTCTATTCTCCAGCCAATATAAACAAAAAAAGAATTCCCTTTTCTTGCTCACAAAAGACTGGCATTTCCCATTTCTTTGTTCATCCCGGCTGTAACAAGACAATAAACATTTATTTCCTTGATAGACTATGCTGCAGCAAGATAAATTAGGGTTTAACCCATTTCCTTGCCAGCAACTACTCCAACATCCTCCTACCCGCCGTTGTTAACCCTCTACCCTTGTAAATATCTTCTGGCCCAACAAAAGCGAGAAAATAGAGACACCTTCCTCCTTATATAGAAAGCGTGAGGTATAAAAGGTTCAAGCTGCTAACTGGCCCACCATAGTGACTTTACGCTAGTGTTGTCAAAGGCTCATTTAAGGCGTGCTTAAACCTGAAGCTCAGAAAAGCTCAAGAAGGGCGCTTTACCTCGCTTAAGCTGCGCTTCAGTGTAAGGCAAGCACTAAGGCGTGGACCTCATAGCCCATGAGTTCTCTGTTGAATCAAGCGGTAGTAAACAACAAGTATAATCGAAAATATGTGTATTAGCTGCTAAGAGAAGCGTTATGAATGAATTTGTTACTTTGTTCTTGAATTACATATATATTTTTATCTTTTTTCCGCCATTGCACCTTTCTTTTACTAAAGCCCACAATTTAAGTACGCTTTGAGCTTAAAGCCTCAAGAGACCTAGAGCCCTTTTTAGAGCTTTTGCCTTTGACAACACTGCTTGACGCAATCACTACGCACAAGCATCATTGTTAACGTTTACCAAATGCAGAAATCAGCAAGAACCAGGCAGATACGACTATATTTCTTAACCCTTATCCGCAGTCAATGAAAAATTAAGACGTGGTGTTATAGTTTTATCTCACTAAGGTCTCTCTTTCGATGTTTCAGAATAGGTCATAGAAAATGGAGCTAATTGTAGATCCTTTGCAAACCCTACTGTGATAAGTTCCATTTTACATAGAAGATGTCCTAACAAAGAGGTCCTCATTAGGAGGCTAGGGTAGATCAAGAGAAGAGCCCACGTTTAACAAGAACCAACTTATATTTCAGCAAAAATAAGATAGTAGTATGCTTTCATTTGTTGTATCGACTTACATTCTCCAGAATTTGCTGCTTCACCACCGATAACCCTTGCTCTCCATTGTGTACGGATGTGACGGGAATGAAAAGTATTATGGTGAGGCTCCTATGCTGAAAAGCACAAAGATACATCCTCTCCTCTGTTTGCTTAAGCCAAATTGTTGGACTGCTGGGACTCAAGCTGCCAACTTCTGTGCCCCAGATATCAGTAACAAGGAAAACATCCTTCCCCTTGGACCATTTGTCATGCTGTAAGGGCCTAACAACCTGATAGCTACGAACTCCAACTGGAGAAGTATCCCGTGAGCTGTAGTACCGGTCCAGGACAGAGGTAGAGCTTGCCAATAATGAACCAGAAGCATTAGAAGTAGAGCTTCCTTTGCGTAAATAGGACCAGGAGCCAGCACCAGCAGACAGAGCATTTGGGGTCAACCTCATGACAGTATAGGTGAATAGGTTAATCAAGTCATCCTGAAAAGGAGAATAGTAATCGTTCATGGTTGGAGCAAGACATGACCATTAACATCAAAGGTTCCCCATAGATAGTTTGTCAATGCAGATAATATTCGTTTTATCCAGATCTTTCTTTAGTTTTGAACGATAACTGCTTCTATAACAAAATTACTAAAGATAAACCGGCCACCGGGCTTAACCGAACCAGGACGGGCCTAGTTAAGTTGGGCCCGGCCAGGCTTGAACTGGCCCAAACCAGTTTCGACTTAGCCGGGCAGGGCCGGTTGAAAATTCTTGGGTTTAAGAACGGCCCAGGACCAGGACCACCAACTAATTATACCAGTTCTTGGTGGGTCACCCCAGTCCAACCGGGAGTTTTACCTCTTACAATTGAATTTATTTAAATGGAGTTTTAAGAATAATTATTTTGAAGCATGTAAAATATAACGTTTTAAATTTTAAAAAATGTAAATTTAGCATTGTTTTTGTTTATTTGTTTAATACTTTGTTAATTAAAACAAGAATATAGTGGAGGAAACCATGTAATCCCAATCTAATATATTATTCAAATATACTCATAGTTTGTTCATGTTCAGATATATAAGTTCTTTTGAGTTTGAATAATTGTCGACCACTTGAATTCTTACTTAGCCTTGACCCAATCTTTTAAGCGAACCAGTGTTTTAAAAGGCGTTTTCGAGACGAGCCCCAAGGCTTGCCCCGAGACGATGGTGTGGGGAGAAAGTCTCAAGGGGCGTACGCCCGGGGCGTACGCTCGGGCGTTTGAGGTGCGTTTTTTTAGTGAGGCGTAAGCCCCAGAAACTTTTTCAAATTAAAACAAAATTTGTTGAATAAGTCCTTCATATAATACCCAAATTCTCAAAATTCAGATTGGTAACTACTCAAAAGTGTTAAAAAAGAACTTGAATGTATTAAATTTAAAAGTCAAGACCTTTTTTATTGATTGAAGCCCTAATTCATGGTCTTTCCCAATTCTTTATCTTGTCCGCTAGTCTGCTAATATCTTCCAAAAGCAACAAATATTCAATTTTTTTAAAAAAAAAAAATACAGAGAACTCCATTTTCCATCATAGCAGCAAGTTCAAAGTTCAAACTGCAGGTTAGTCATCCTTTTTGTTCCTCCATGTAGAAAACTTTATTCTTTTCGACTCAAGTTACTTGCGCTTCTAAGTAGCGTATAATAGATTCTTTTGACTAGTTTTTTGTGGGGACGGAGCACATCTATATATATATATATATATATATATATATATATATATATATATATATATATATATATATTCCCCACATATTTATAGTTTTCTTCAATTTTTATGCAATTTTACCTGTTTATAAATATTTACTGTAATTACATTATTTTACAAAATATTAAAAATTAAATACTCATGGGGCTTACGCCTCGCTGAGGCATATGTAAAACGCCTCGCCTTACGCCCACGCCTTTTAGAACACTGAAGTGAACAACCACCTCTGAAGTATTTCCTGAGAGTAAGTTCATTTGGCCCCGACTAGAAGTATATTCAGATGCAATGGTATAAACTAGAACCATTAATTTCAGTTTTTTCCTACTAATTAGGGCCGGTCAGATAAGGAAGTTGGTCCCTATTCGAGCCACTTCATGAGTTAGAATCCTGAACTGGCCCAAGCCCAATTTAGGTCTGGACTAGCCCAGCCCCGGTTAACCTAACTGGGCCTATATTTTGTGGGCCAGTTTCCTTAGTAACCCGGTCCAGTTGCCAGGTCTAACTAAAGACAATATAAAGACGGAAAGTACAAGTGAGAGAGAGAGAGAGAGAGAGACAGAGAGAGAGAGAGAGAGAAGCCTACAGGAGAAAGAGTTGTGGAAACCAGCAGGTCCTGGAACATGATCAGTGAGTAGCACTGTGTGCAGCCGGCACACGATTCTAGCACTCTTACTAGTGACTGAATGCCAAAAAATGCAAGAAATTGTGGTTAGAATGATAATGTCTTCACCAAAAGATTATGGCATCTACACAACAACATCAGCCTTATTAACAAAATTCTACCCTCAGGCATTGGATTTCACACCACATGTCAATCAAGAGGGGACATAAAAATAGAGTTCAAATCATCAGTCTGGCCATATATTAAGTTACACCCTTTCTGTAATTCCTTGCGGTAGATATACTCACGTGTTTTTGTTATAGTTGGTCAAATAGATTTTGGGAGAAGATATATTGGTACTAAAAGCACAATCTTCAATTTAATTCGCAAGCATTTCCGCCCCTAGTGCAACAAGTAAAAGTCGGAGCAGAAGTGTGACAATATAAGAAGAATCTATCCAAGATTAAACATGAATACTCATAATCAGAATATAGATTAAAGAATAAAAATGAAATTAATGAAATAATAATGGCGTGTATTAGTTAATTTCACTCTTACGACATATACCCAGCTTGATTTAATATTGCTTCATGACTCAGAGATCCATTTTACACCTTATAAATTGATTTTCGAACTGGGGGCCATTAGCCCTCGGGGATCTCTCGGTCATACAGAAAAAAGCAATAATTTGAGGTCAAAAGGGAGAAGAAAACAAGAAATGGGAAGAGTGAAAAAAACATGAAAACATCAAAAGATTTACCATCTAAGATTAAACCAAATTACATCTGATTGTCTATTCTACTGTAATGTAGTATAGCAGCTGTAGGCAACATCCTTTAGGCAACTCAAGATGAGAGTTTAATACTAAAACAGTCATCTTATTAAGAGAGAGAGAGAGAGAGCACTAAACTACAGTTGTTTAACACTAAAGCTGCTATTAGCTAAAGTTTTTTTTTTTTGAGAATAAAAAAAAAAAAAAAACCTTCAGCTAATAGCTAAAGTTTTACCTTCGGAGTTCTAAACATTTATAATGCTAATGAGGCTATAGTCTATATGATAATGGTGGAGGATAAAAGACTCGGTTTCAAGTCCACCAGATGTTTGATATGCTGATAACTTTGGATTTTTGGGTAACTATTCCTCCAGCTACATATGGGCAACCAAATTCTTCTTTTATTCCTCAAACGTAAATTCCATTACAACAATGAAGATCAATGGCAATCAAGTATGGACAGGTAAAAGCGTAAAAGTAGTGAACAAACATGTTAAGTCTAAACCTAAATGCTTGGGTTAATAATCTTTATTTTGACTAACACACTTGATCTTTATTCAGCAAATGAAACAGTACAAAGTGTTTCACATAAGTACGTCAGGACAGATTTCTAAAAAGATAATAGCTGAGATTTTGCTTCTTTATTTTTCTGGGACATTTAGATGCCATGAACTTTTGGCAGAAGCTACCATGTGAAAAGAGTGAGGCTATGGTGTCTTTGATTCGGCCAGAGAAGCCAAAACTTGATCCTATCTAGGGCAAACCCCATCCACTTTGCCAACAAGACGAGCACGGAAGACACACAGATCTGAGCAACATAATGAATAAATCCAGCAAAACAAATAAATCCAAAGTTTATCTTTTCATCTCCAGTTTGCCCTGGGCTTCAACAATCTGAGTGCATGCAATAAACTGCCAATAACGAACCTGAACTTCAAGTGCTGCTTCCCTCCCAATAGTCAACATCTGTACTTTTCCACGCTCCTTCAGACAGTCACGGAAATTTGGCAAGTGAAGCTTCTTGCCAGAAAGAAAATCTGCCACAGGGAAAAATTAATAAGTGAAGCATTCAAAAGGCTGTTTAATACTCAAATTGCACAAACTGATGGAATTATTAGATACAGAAGCTATAGTATTACCCCAGCAGCACAATTCCAATGAAGGTCGCTTTTCAAATGCTGGCAATTATGACTTGCAATGAAATAATTTGAACAGGAATATCTTCTTATAAAAGAGATGAAATGCAAATTTTCAAGGTACGTAATAAAGCCTCACCACTTAAATAATCCATAACAAAATAATACAAATGCGTCCTGGTAAGCCCTCCACTCGGTTCTCTATCGAGTAATGCTCTGATGGACCCGTGAAACATCACAAAGAGAGAGTGAACTTCTTTAAGAACATTTCGTAAAGCATCAGTCCGCCATATGGCTTCTGACTCACTTTTCTCCACCACCTAAACATGGTATACCACCAGAAAAGCTAATAAATAACATAAAAGTTACAAAGCATAACAAATTTCTTCTGCAATGGCAATAAAAATGTGAGGAAATTTGAGTTAGTCCGAGAAATTTCTGTATCTGAACTTTGTTGTTCCCATTAAGTCATACTCAGCTTTTAACCAACAAGAAATGATAGTCATGCTTAATCATCCTATCTTCTCCAGTAATTTAAAGAATTTTTGGGAAATCTATCTAAGAGCCAACTGCATATACAAACCATAGTAGTATTATATTAAGCAACCTACAGAATTTGAGATATTATACTCATCAAAAGCATAGAAATATAGATACAAACCCATAAAGCACTATGTGTATCTCAAGGTTGTTATGCATATGTCCAACATGAGATCCACGTTACTCCATTGTTTGAACCACATGTCTGAGCATGCCACGAAGTAGGGACCCGCCTATGGTTCGTTAGTGCAGTTCGCCAACTATGATATTTAACAGTTTATTTAGACTTCAAACAGCAGTATTATGGAAAGAAATTTCCTGAGTTACCACTTGTCTTTTCATCTTTCCTAACCTAGTCCTCAACCTTCTATGCTTCAGTTCACTGCAGGTGGTAGTCCTGGAATTGTTCATTGAAGTAAAACTATTGAAGTATGGGCAAAAAAAATCCAAGAAGCGAGTACGGATGTAGCATCAGATTTAAAACATCTGTGAGTTATGTATCCACTTATATACAGCAACAATTACATCAGTGAGCTTATATCCAGCCTCCATATGATCATCCTTTCAAATTTAGCAGGTAGAAGGACAGACCAGCATTGTACAATCTCCCAAATCAGTACAGATAATAAGTGATCACCACACATTATTATCTAATCCGATTAGTGGCAGAATTATCCTCCATACAATTCACCAAAGAATTAAAATTCAACCACGTCATGAAGTGCCAGGTAAAGTTTATTGGTGATAATATAAGTGCAAGAAATCATACCATCACCATCCAAATATCACGTTCTGCCTCATAGAAAACATGTGAGTGCATCTCTGCGTCAATAACCTCACACGGAGCCTCTGGGGAGAATATCCTGCAAAAAAAAAGTATAGAGGATATTACCATATGACTTGAAAGATCCATGAATCGTAAAACTGCAAGAAGTTGACAACAGCATCCAGATGGCACAGTCATACATATCAAAGATTACCTATCTTTCAGAGCAGAAAAAGAAGATAAATGGAAGATGAACGAAATCTTAGCCTTAAAAATTAACATATCCACGTTGAAGAATCCCATTGCTCTTCATTAAGCACAACAACTTCAAACTAGGAACAAGCTTCAAGCTCTTTTTTCTTTACCTCTTTAATGCCTCTAATATGAGAATGCAGAAACATGAGCTCAACTATCTATCAACCTAATGATATGACTGAAGAATCCTTTGGGTAAGAATGAATGTCTATTGATAAAAGGATATGAACAGAGGGAAAGATCTTCCTCAAACTAAGAACTAAAAGCTCTATCCAAGAATACAGACTTCAATAACATTGCAGATCAGTTATCAAGACAGCGTGAAAGAAGTAATGTGAAAGTAAAAATCATAGCAACCAATCTAGTTATCCCATCTTTAAGAAAGAGCTTTAAAAAGAATCACATGAATTTCTACTCGTTAATAGATACAGGTGCAGATATGTGAGTGCCAGTCACAACAAACCTGGTGAATGTTATGAGCCCTTCACTAAGCCCTATCACAGAGAGTTGGGTTGGGAAAGGCAAATCAGCAGGAAAGAAAAATAAAATCTTGTCCAACTCCTGCCCTTCATGTTGTCCCCTTCTCAAATCAAATATGCACAATTTCATAGCTTCATTGACAGAGCTTGCCGCCGACATGCCCATTTTTCCGCTCCCTTCCTATCACCAAGATATCAAGTTTCCAAATCAAAACTAGACTAGGTTCACAAATATGACACATCTAATATGAATTAGCATACAAGATTTTAATTATCTAAATACATCACGCATGCATGACTTATCAAAATTCTTATTGAAGAAGAACAACAAAAGTATTTCTAATACAAATTATCTCTTTCTTATTCTCTTATCCTTCCATTTTCTTTCTTCTTTTTACCGGTAGAAAAATTAGTTTCTAGTACAGCTAACAATATGATTGCCAGAAAAAAAAAAACCAATAATTTTACATACAATCAATAAAGCCACAAAGCATTTAAAAAAACACTAAATTTACATTCAGTTTGTTTGCTTAATGCTTATCTGAAACTCGCAGGATTTTGTGCAGTCTGCTACTAAAGACCAGAACAACCCATCAGAGACAACAAAAAAAACAACAACAACAAGCCCAGTGAAATCTCACAAGTGGGGTTAGGTGATTTCTTGTCATCTGCATAAGCCTTGGTGGGCAGTTACCCAGTGGTATAGTCAAGGTGTGGGCAAGCTGGCCCAAACACCACCATTATTCAAAAAAAAAAAAAACTTTTATGATCAGATGAATCATTTCGTTTTCTCATCATAAGCAACAGCAAAACACACGTTAAAAAAACGTTTTTAAGTTGTTTATATAATGCATCTTGTGCTTAATTCAGTAGAAAGTCATTACTAGAGTATCATACTATATCAATGAGCAGCATCAAATGTGCTCTTTTCTCCATGATCTCCAAAATTAGTAAGTAAATAGAACCTTAACAATCATGAATTCACCTAGACTGCTCTATCCGTTCACAATTTGATCCTTAGTTACTGTAGAGTTAGGGATACACAAACCTAAAATTAACATTGCAAAAGAATCTGAATTAGTATTAGGGTTTTTTATTTTTTCCTCACTGAGTTCGATTTAAGAGATACTTACAGAGGGTCTTGCCGGAGCCGGACCGCCGAGCTGTTGTGTTGGGTCTCGCCGGAGCCGGGCGTGGGGTTTATAGTAGGGGTGAGAAGAATTAAACAAAAATACAACAACAATTTTACATCATCACTTTAGAATGTAGAACTAATAAGAAAAAGTAAATATTGTCAGTTCTCTCTCATTTTCAGATGAAATAGAGAACTATAATTGTAATATTAAAATCAAATTATTAGAAATAGATGAATGTTCAAATTAATTCTTAAAAAATTGACGACTTGGTTTTGAATTTTCAGAAAGACATTTGATAGAAGGTTTAAAAGTTCTAGGAGGTATTCCAATTAATTTGATTTTCTTGCTTTAAAATAAATATTTGAGATAATAAATATGGTGAAGAAATAGTTGTACAATGTTTAATTTGAGAAATCAAAATCGTAATTTTATTGTAGCTTGAATTCGTGGCTATATCTTTTGTCATCGAGACAATTATTGTTACGATTATTATAAATTATGTTCATTTAGATATAAAAGTATTTGTAATTAAAAGTTTATCATTGTTCGGTTATATGGCAAGAATTTATGATTAGTTACAAAAACGATAAGCTTGTGGTTATATTTTTTTTAATGACAAATATGTAACTATTATATCTGTTATTGGTGGCGAATTGTTATTACAAAATTGTTGAGAAAATTTAGGTTGAGATTCGTCGAAATTTTTATGCTATTATATATTTAAATGAACATTTTCTCCTATGGCTTTAGTTGGTAATTTTTTCACATGAGAGTATAAGTGGAGTTTTCTTGATACATGTTTATATAGGAAAATTGCTTAAAAAGTCATTTTTGTTAACGTTATTAGCAAATGCTTTTTTTTTTCCCTCCAATTTGATTTGAAGCTATAATTTTTATATCGTGATATAAGTCCACTAAAAGAACTAAAAATTACCAACATATTCACCAATAAACTAGATTGGTTGGTAATTTAGCAATATATTACCAATATTCTTTTTGGTTGATGCATTATCGATAGATTAATAACTATTACCAATATTCTTTTTGGTTGATGCATTACCGATAGATTAATAGATTATTAGATTAGCTTTGATTATTCACCCCCCTCACTAATATTTTTGTTTTTTGGTTTCCCACTCGGTGTCCGATATTCGTATTGGAACCCGACTATTTCTGGATTCGTGCTGCGTAGGGCCTCATTCGGAGGGAAGCGCTTCCTACCAAGAATTTTTCTATATTCATGACTCGAACTCGAGACCTCTGGTTAACCTCACCAATATCTTTTGGTATGTTTTTGTATAAATATAATGGGTTAAGTACAACAGAAGTTGGCTATCTCTCAATTGGCTATCTCTCGGCAAATAATATAATGTTAGTATCAAACACCATCATATAAATGGAATAAGGATGAACCAAATTATCTATCACAAAGGCCATGACAGTGTGCAAATTTTTTCATTTCACATTGAAGCTCAAAGCAAAAATAAAAGAAAAAATTAAAAGAGAAAGAAGGTAAGAAAAGTTATAGTTGGATGTTTTAATAGCTGCAATCTTAGTATTACACCTGATCCCTCATGTATTTATTTGCTAAAATATAATAATGTCACGACCCATTTTCTGTACAAGTCGTGACTGACACCCGATCACTAAACATGATTGAGCGAACCATCTGTGCTTATCAAATCTATTATAACTTCAAACTTTATATGCAATAAGGTAATACTTTAAACAAATACTTTTGATTAATTTAAATATTTAAAATAAATCAACTCCAAAACTTTATTCGTAGTAACTACTGAAATATTGCTAAGTTATTATCCAAAAACACCTTAATCTTAACCCACCGACTGTGTCTATGAAGCCTCTACTGATAAACTGACGCACTGCTTAGGACATGAGATTTTCTGGCCAGTTCTCTAAGTAAACAAAGAAATAGCTAAATAAATATGACTCTAAGAAATACTCCACGAACAAAAGCGGAGCTCAATAATAGTACTGGAAGTGAGGGAAGTCATAACCCGTAGCCTGCTCGCTGCAAAATCGGTTCCTACGTTATACCGCAGACCAACGTAGGTTCCCAAAAAGAGAACGTCAGTACCATCCATTGTACTCAGTGAGACTCAACGACAGGGGACAAAACTTTAATAACATATATATTACGAGCAAAGGTTCTAAATGCATGTAAAACATAAAGCTTATAAAAATAATTCTAAAATAATTGCATAATAGCAGTTTATGAATATTCTAAAAGAAATTCTTTTCTTTTTCTTTCCAAAAAAATATACATCACTTTATACTTTGGGAGTTCCAACTATCCTGACCTATTTCTGTTTTAGTCACCGTGTGATCGGCACGAGTTCGATCCCAACCTAATCGAATAGGCTCAATCCACGAGGTGCCACTCGCTTCATGGTTCTCAGCGCTCATGTATCATACCTTAGCATGGCTAAGTAAATTCTCAGCAACGAGACCCTCGGCTCGTGTGTTCCCTACTTTGGCACAAGTAGTTTCAGGAAGTCAACGCCTTGGTCAGGACCCTCGGCCTGGACGATGACCCCTTCTCAGAATAAAGGATACTCACAAAAAAAAATTCTTTCTAAAACTTCTTCTTGTGACTTTTCAAGTCTAAATCTTTCAAACAGACTTATTCTGGAATCCTTAAAGGTAAGGTATGGCATAAGAATGAAATGAACATTAAAAATTATTTCTAAAGGTTCTTGCTTCTTCATTAATTTTCAACATGAAAATGGCATATGAGAATAACACAAAAACAAAATCTTAAAATTTATGCACATATGTCAAAATAATCATCTAAACTTTAGCTAGAAAATAATTCTAAGCTAATAGGTACTTACTCGCCCCAATTAAGTACATATAAACTCTTTTAAGCAATTCATCAAACACCTTGTATGCGTGCTTTTGTGAGTTAAACTACTTTAATGGAAAATTTCCTTCAGGCAATATCACTATAAATTTGGAACAAATATGGAAAGAAAGATATAGCTCTTCACCAAACACTCACAAAATTAATAGTTCATTACTGCAACTTCTGAACACGAAAAATTTGACGAGTATTTATACCTGTATTTGGATTCTAGATCATAAAATTTCAGATATACCTAGTTCCAAAAGAAAATAATTTAAATGCCTAGAAAGCTCAGAACATTTTGCTTTCTCTAATCTGTCTAGTAAAGTTAAGGATCTCATGTTGTTTATTTCCCACTACAATGTAATTGGGAGTCTTTCTGGTGTTCTACAAGTACCATTAAATTACAGGAAAAAAGAAAAAGAAAAATACAAAGTCCCCTGAAACTTCAATTTAATTGTAATTCAAATGCAAAGACAACTGAAGTCTTTAAGAAAGAGTGGACAAATTATATCAACTCACCTCAAAACTCCTCGAGTCAATACGTAGGCCCTAGTCCAATTTATACCCGTCAAATAATAGATTCTACAACAACCAGTGCATTTTAATTAATTTTAAAGTTTCATACCTAAACATGAAATTTATTGTTGATATAGAGAAAGAAGGAAATTAACTATTCAATTCCTACATATTACAACTGTAGGGTAATTGACAATAGGAAATTTTACATACCCGAGTTCATGAATTAGTGATTTATAAAGAATCCTAGATCTTCTGTTGCCTGCATGAGTAAGCAGCCTATGTTTCGTGAGTTAGTTCTGGTTTTTGTCTAAGGCTTTTGCCTTCTAACCTTTTTTGTGGATGACAGAACTTTGTTCTGTTTTCTTAAGACTTGAAGTTTTGTTTTTCAACATCCCGTTTTATGGGCTTCAGNCCTAATTATATATTCAATTATTTATAAATAATTTAATATAAAAAAAATTAATTCTATATTTAGCGTGTCTTGAAACTTTTATAGATTTGAGGAATGTTACAATCTTCCATCCTTAAAAACATTCGTCCTCGAATGTTGCTAGAGCCTTATTCTTAAGCTAACAATCATTCCTTAGGTCCTTGAACCTCTTAAGTTTTCTTAGAACTACTCACTCTTCCAAGGGACTCAAAATTTTGGCTAACTCCCTAAATTTTTAAAATTTTCGGCAGAGTTTTCCTTGTAAATTGGACTATCCAAAAAAAATATTCCTGTCACAAATACCATAACTACACCACCAACAACCAAATATACCATAACAGGCCATTCATAGGTACCATACACAGCTCATAAATTAATTACTCACACTCCAAAAAGGAGGTACCACAATAACCGAAAAGAATCTAAAGCACAATACTTTAGCACAAGTAAATCAATTTAATGAATTAAATATACTTTGGCATAAACTAAATTACTACAACAACTAAGTATCTAGGAAGGACATAAACACTTGCTAACTTGTATTTAATAAATGAAATATAAATGTCAAGCCAAACCTAGTTTCACATACCTTGTTACTCAAATAAATATGGATATTTCTTTCTCATATCTTCCTCGACCTCCCACGTAGCCTCTTTTGAATCATGATTACTCCACAAAACTTTTATCGATGTTATATCCTTTGTTCTCAACTTTCTTACTTGCCTATCGAGAATTTCTATAGGTACCTCTTCATAAGTCAAGACTTCTTTAATTTCTATGGTATCGGTAGGTATTATATGTGACTCATCATGAATGTACTTTCTAAGCATATGCACATGAAAGACAGGATGAACAAAGGACAACTCAATAGGCAACGCTAGCTCATATGCCACGTTTCCCTTCTTTTCTATAATCTCATAAGGTCCAATAAATCTAGGACTAAGTTTTCCCTTCTTACCAAACCTTATAACTCTTTTCATTGGTGAAACCTTCAAAAACACCTTGTCACCAACCATGAACTCTAAGTCATGATGCCTCTTATCAGAATAGGACTTTTGACGACCCTGAGCCGCTTTTAATCTTTCTCTGATTAGCTGAACTTTTTCTAAAGCCTCACAAATAAACTCTGGACCAATCAACGTCACCTCTACTGGTTCAAACCAACCCACTGTACACCTACATCTTCGCCCATACAACGCTTCATAAGGAGCCATACCAATGCTAGCCTGATAGCTGTTATTGTAAGCAAATTCTATAAGCGGCAAGTGATCATCCCAATTACCTCCAAAATCTATAACACAAGCTCGCAACATATCTTCGAGAGTCTGAATGA